CCCCAAATACTCTGTTCTGAGTAGTAATTTCTGATCAGATCCAATCACCACTCGTTTGTCTTGAAATTTGTTATTAATTAACAGAACTGCAGATAAGACCTTTTCCATTGCCAGGTAACTGACTTTTTTTGGGTCTCACGTTCAAAAAGTTGGATATTTTAGTCTGCTTCTTGGGAAATTTTGGGGAAGAAAATAAAACAGAATCCAAATCTTCTCCTTTTCCAACAGTTATGGTTATGAGCAAGCAAGGCTCAGTCAGGTGAAAAATAAAGGTCATTTTTTGGGGGGCTGGGGCGGGTTTATGTGTGTAGAGTGGTGGTTTGGGGATGATGGATGATGATGATGATGGAGATGTGTCTTCACTGAGAGTCTGGGCTTGGTTTGACCAAGGCAGAAGAAGCTCTTCCCACCCCTCCAGAGGTGGAACAGCCTTGCCCCTCTGCAGCCTGGGTTTGCAAGGTGCTGTCCCAGCTTTAGGTGCCCGATTTAGGGATTTAATTATGATTTCTGGTGTCCTAAACCAGGACCTCCACCTCAGGCTTTGCCCTGCTCTCAGTCTGTGCCTCACTTTCCTGTCTCTGCCTGCTAATTCCAACCTCATGGAGCTATCCTGAAGTTTAATTAGCTGCAGGCAAAGCCCTCTGAGATTCTTGGGGGAGAGACACGAGAGAAGAGGAAAGTATTAATTTAACATGATTAAAATAATTGGTTGGTGGCTGGCGAGCAGAGGGTGAGCACCAGTGGTATTTATTCTTAATGGGAGATGAGGAGGAAATACCATTCCTCATGGTTCAGTGGTAGGAGCAGCTCCTCAGTGTTTGTGCTAATGGTTTTGGACAAAGCAGGACACTTGGAATTGTTAAAGACACAGCTGATGATGAAAGAGCAGCTGCTGGTGAGGGCACCCAGAGATGTGTGGTGTCTGCACCACGACCAAAACAAGCTCAGGGGCCTGAAGTGGAATGTGATGCCACTGGGAGGGAGCTACACATCCCCCAGTTACAGCAGGGAATTAGGGAATGTGGCAGTGGAAAGGGATCTTGGTGTATGGACACCCTCAGAATGTTGGGGCTACAGGTATTTTATTAAAGAAAATTTGGCAGTAAAAGGTTGGGGGTTTTTTTGGGGTTTTTTTCTGTGTAAACAATAATAAACACACCAGGTGAGAGGCACAGGAGCTCCCAGGGTGGGCAGTGACTGTCACCAGGGTCAACAGAAGTGATGAGTTGAGGTTGGGATATTTCATTATCCCTCCCTCAGCCCAGCTGCCTTCCAGGTGACCACTTTTATAGGCAGGGCCTGGAAGTGCTTATTTATCAACAGTCCATCTGCCTTTATTTACAGTTTGCTGAACTTCTGGGGCTGCCACGTCCCCTCTGGGCAGATCCTTCTATGACCAGATCCTTTGTCACTTTTGTTCCAGTGTCTCAGCCTTCACCACCCAGGGATCTGAGGCTGCTGATAGAGGGAAAGACTTTCCTCTGCATGTGTTGGAATAATTTTCTCTGCTGCTTCTTCCTCTCTTTGGGGAGGGCAGAACGTTTTTGGCGGTGCAGAGGAAGGGCTGGAGGGAGGAGGTTTCTTTGTGTCAGGTATTTTTTTCTGCTCACCTGGACTGTAGGATCACAGAAGGATTTGGGGTGGAAGGGACATTAAGGATCATCCAGTTCCACCCCCTGCCATGGGCAGGGACTATCCCAGGTTGCTCTAAGCCTCCAAGTGAAACCCTGGACACTTCCAGGCATGCAGGGGCAGCCACAGCTTTTCTGATCAACCTGTTTCAGGGCCTCATCACCCTCTGAGTACAGAATATTTTTGTAACATCCAACCTAAATCTCCTTTCCTTCAGGGCAATCCATCACAGCAAAACCCACCACGTGGAGAACCTCAGCTGCAGGTGCAGGGCAGACACCTTGGGTGCTGTGTGAACCCACAGGGTGCTCCAGCTTAGGAGAGATCAGGAGGTCATGGGAGAGGAGATGGTGAAAATGCTCTGGAGAAGAGCCACCATCACTCCTTTCTGCGTGCACAAACCTGCCCAGCCCACTGGCAGCTGGCTCCATCCCTTCAGATTTGATTCCTGAGGCAGCTGTGGTCACTCACCTGGGGTGTTGGCCCCAGAGCCTGAACCCTGACCCAGAGCCCAACTCAGCAGAACTCCCCCACCAGCAGACTCCAGCACCAGGCACAGGTATTCAGAGCTTTTCCAACTGAAGGATTGCATTCAAAAAGTCAGACAGTGAAAGTCAAAAGTTAGGAAGCGGCAGAATTGAGGTCACCATGGAAAAAAGGAATAATAACCTGTGATCCTGTAATTAAAATCTGGCTTGCAGTGTGTGAGTGCAGGGAGCAGATTTGGAAGTACAGAAGCTGCTTTCAGTCTGGCAGTCCCTAATTCCTGAGACCCTGACACAGCAGCCTTAACATTATATTAAACCCAGGCTTAGTTTGGTTTGGTTTTTCATAAATTCATGATTTGGATGATGTTATTTTCACCTTATGGCAGATATCAAGGCCGCAAGGCACGTCAGTCTAATATGCAGCAGGAGTTTGGTCTGAAAAGTTTCATTTTTTAAATGTGTGTGTGACCTGTAAACAGCAAGGTAAAATGTGGATTATTATATTCCTGTTCAGTGGTGGGATTGGGAATACAAACCACAAACCACATTCTGGATGCTTAATCCATATCCATATATTTGAAACTGAGCCTGGATATCTGCCTGTTTGATTTTAGAAAATCTAAGTATTTCTGCTGTGCTGCAGCTAAAGGAAATAAATGGGAGACAACAGAATGTCTTGCAGAATTTGGGCACTTGTGTTTTGATTCTGAGCCCCAAAAGGTTTCCCTTCCAAGCTATTCCCAGGAGAGGAGCTCCCACTGCCTGTGGAGCTTTAATGGGATTGCTGTGTCTCTTAGTTTTATGGAAGTGCTTGGAAAAATCTCAGGTCAGCATTTTGCCTTTTGGCTTTTGTGCCACCATGGGGGACTTAGAGTTTTGGGGGTATTTAATGGGCTATTGGTTCAACCCTCTGGAGAATGCCCATTTAAAATTCCTGATCCAGCATGTGGCAGTGCCAGAGGAGATTTAATGGGATGAGGGCTCCTGGGGAGCAGAGAGCAGGAGCTGCAGTGCTCCTTTTGCTCTCTCAAACCTGCAAAGTGTGCTGAGAACGGCCAAAATATCCCTTTGTGGATCCTGCCTCTGCAAATACAAAACTTTCCTCTGCCAGAAGGATGGAGAAATTGGAGTTTGGAGTTGGGGTGTTCATTTTATCTTGTCAGTCACGAGAGAGAAGCCAAGCCCTGAAGTTTTATGCCGCCCCAAGCTTTGTAACATTTGGATTAACCATTTATATAGTTTTTTGGCATGCGTTTCCATGGATCCTCATCTGCAAATCCCCATGCACAAGGGTGCAGTCTCTGCTCCAAAGAGTAGGGATGCTGAGCTCCAGCATCCAGTAGGGATCCTGGAGCTCCAGCAGCCCCCAGGTTTTGGCATGCATTTCCATGGATCCTCATCTGCAAATCCCCATGCACAAGGGTGCAGTCGCTGCTCCAAAGAGTAGGGATGCTGAGGGGTGATCCTGGAGCTCCAGCAGCCCCCAGATTCTCTCACAAGTGAGACTCTGAAGTCTGGGAGTGGGTGAATAATTTAACATCCGCACTTAAGTCTTTATAGCTGGTTTTAATGGAGGGTAATAGCACTGCTAATAACAAAATCCATTGAAGACACCTTGTGCAAGTCCATAACATTAACTTAATGGCAGGAGGTAATTGGCATGCAGCTGGAGCTGTCCTTTTGGATTAACCCTGTGGATTTCCAGGCAGACACCTTCCTTGCAGCAATGGCCTTGGCAGCGGATGTGGAGTGAAATACAGACGTGGTTTATGTTAAACAAGTGCAAACCTGGGTGGAAACGGGGCAAACAGCCACCAATCCACTTTTCTGGATTGTGTTTGCACCACACAGGTGAGATGAGGAGTAATGACAGCACTGAAAACATCAACAATTAGTGGGTGGTGTGAAATTCAGCCATTTGTGCAGCCCAGGTGTGTGCACACACACATTTCACTGGGCTGTCACTTACTTGGAACACCTGAATTTTTAAGATTCAACTCTCAGCACTTCTAGTCAGCCATTTTCAAGGCATGTAGAATTATACTCTTTTCTGACCTAGAGAAGGGGCAACTGAGAGGCGTTTTAAAAACTACTTTTATTCTATTTTCAGTCTCATGAGAAGGGTGGAGACAACACAGATGTTATAATTCACTTGATCACAATCAACTGTTTCTTAATTACAAAACACTATAAGCATTTTTTGGTCTATTAAAGTTTCTTGGTCTATCAGCACAAAGGCAGATTCAAAAAACTCCTTAATCTGCAGGGACAACTGCTTGGAGGGGTGGTCCCATCCCAGAGGTGAGGTACCAGCAGCCTGGATGCACCAAAAGTGTGCAGCATTCTCAGGAGGGCCAAAAAACATGGGCTGTGCACTGCTTCTCTGCAAGGACAGCCGTGCATGAGGTGCCCCACAGCCCTTGGACAGCAGAGTTTGAAGGGCTGGGGGTCTGGCCCAGGAAAGGTGGGAAGACAGAGAATTCCTGCAGCTGGGATGGAGCTTTCACCCATCACCCTCCCTCCGCTTACAGGTTCCTTGCGACTCCTCAGCCTTCTTGAGCATTCCCACAGCTGCCAGCAGCAGAGTTAATGCTCTCAGGCACGTGGTGGGGCTCTTGGGAATGTCCTGTGCAGGGCCAGGAGTTGGGCATGATGATCCTTGTGGGTCCCCTGCAGCTTAGGATATTCTCCATGATCCCAAGAGCTGGAGTGCGCCAGGGCGCGAGCGCCGTTTCCCACTTTTGGGACTTGTGCCGTCCCAAAGAGCACAGAGCCGACTTTCTATCCACACCAGCTGCTGCTCCCACACCCCAGAGCTGTCCCCACGCTGCCAGCCTGGCTCTGTGCTGACCCTGTCCCTGTCTGTTCCTGTTTCCCCAGCTGCACGAGGAAGGAGCGGTGCGAGCGCTCCAGCGAGCCGCGCAGATTCGCCTCGGAGATGAAGCAGTGCGTCCGCCTCACCGTGCACCCCAACAACATCTCCGTCTCCCAGTACAACGTTCTGGTGAGGAATGACAATCCCTGCCCCTCTCTTCGGGTTTCACCTGCCCGTGCAGCGTGGCAGATCCAGGGATTCAGCAGCAAGAGGTTCTCCAGACTCTGTGGACTTCCCCAGCAGCTCTTCTGGCGCAGGGAAAGATTTGCCACAGGAGGATGTTTTGGCATTGGTTATTCTCTGATGTTTTGGCATTGGTTATTCTCTGTTTAGATGTGTTGAAGTGGACTAGGAAGAGTCTTTCTTGTCAGTGAGGGCAGGTCTGAAGGGACTCTGTGTCCTGCAAGCATTGTGTGCTGCCCTGGGAGAGTGAATTAATTAATAGCTTTAGGCAAGGGACATTTTTGTCGTTAGAAATTGCATTCTAGAAGAAAGCCAAGTGAAGGATGATATGAATTATTTCAGTGAGCTCCAAGTTCCTATCATTTTGGATGGAAATGTCTCCTTCTAAGCCCCCAGGAAGTCTATCCTGCTCCAGCACTAGGCATGCAGAGCAGAAAGGCAGGATGCTGTGCAGAGGAACCCAAAGTTTCCAGGGCTCCTGCTGTCTCCAGTGACCTTCCACAGCACAAGGTTTAACCTTTCTGGCCTAGAGCTACTCAGGCAGCAGCCAAGGAAACCACACAGTGAATGCTGGCAGAGCAGCAGATGATCCTGATCATTCCTGGGCTTGAGGCAGGAAATCTCTGCTGAAGATCTGACCAGTTTGTGGTTTCTCTCCTGACTCATGGCAGCAGTACCAGATGTGGTGAGATCCCAACATGCTCCAAGAAGGAGACAAGAACCCATTTCTCTCAGGCTACCAGTGCTCTGTCTTTTTGACCTTGCTAATCTGGGCTGCAATTAAGTTGGTAACCCAGGCCCTAAAATCTCCATCTCTAGACAAGTTGGCCATTAGCCCCACACCCTGAAAGGCCTAAATGGAATTTAGGCAGCTGCCAGACAGACACCTTCCAGGTCACAGGTTTGGATTTCTCCAGGGATAAAGAAATCAGCCTTTCAAAGCCTGCATGTCCAATCATTGCTGCTTTGTTTCAGCCTCTTAACTTTGCTGTGACTTTACTTTCCCCAGGCTTCAAACACAAACTGATCTGAGACATCTTAAGTTCTTTCTTCTTCTGGGAGTTCAAGGAGTTCTTTTCCATATTCTCTCAGTAGCTGTTGAATTCTTTCATGTTGGAATAAATCCTGGGGGACTGGCTGGCTCGGGGAGACTGAAAATGATAATAGAATAAGAGACCTTTTCCTCTGGGTTACTCCCAGGGTGAGTCAACCCAGAGCTGCTGGGATCAGAAGTTGCCATCATCTGTTGCCCAACAATCTGCATGGGCCTTTTGATGGAAGTTTCAGCCCAGTCCCAGCTAAACTGGTGTCTCAGCTTATCCCACCACCAGAGGCAAACCAGGAGGGGAATAGAGAGTTGATGGTGTCCTTGGCTAATATCAAATCTAGAATGTTAGGATCTTGAGTTCTAGCAAAGTGTCAGTGACAGTGAGTTCTTGCCCATGGAGGCAGAGCAGGTGTGGTCAGCCATGCTTTTAAATTTTGGGCACTAACAGGGCTTTGGAAAATCTTACCTGAGCCTGTTTCAGCCCGGGGCTACTGCTCTGGGCTCTCTGAGAAGAGCTGCTTGCTGTGGGAAGGCTCCATGCTTCCCATGCTGTCCCAGGAGTGTGGGATGTAGGACTTCTTGTCTGCTTGGGGTGTGCACGGGCTCATGGAGCTTGTGGCCAAGCACTGCTCTGCCCACCAGTGTCATCTTCTGCATGGCACAGCTTCCTCCTCCACCCATGCCCAGAGGGAGATTGGTTAAGGAGGACAGATTCCACTTCTCCGCTGCTAGTAGGGGGAATAAATTCAGCCTCAGTATTAAATCCATCCAAATAACCAAACCTTTTTCCCATTCCCCATCCGAGACAAAAAAAAAAAAAAAAAATCACCTTTCCCACTGCCATTCCCATGGCCCCAGAATGATCCTACTCTCACAAAGGCTTAATGGCATCCAGGGCTAAGGCCTGTTTGCTCAGCCTTCCTCCCTGATGGTCCTCAGTGTGGAGAAACAGCTCCAGCCTTTCCCTAAGTGAGGAAAACACAGTGTGTGGGGGCACTGTGGGCTATGTCACCTTCTCGTCGTGTCCTGCTTTGCCACCTGGACTGACCCCTGCTCTTTGTGCTGGTACAAACAACACCTCAGCATGCATCTATGTCTCCTTTCAGTGGCTGTCACCTCAGAGGGGGCCTCAGCCAGCTCAGGGAGGAGGCAAGTGTGGAGGACATCTGCATTTGAGCCTGTGCTGAGTGGTTGGCTCCAGTGCTCTGTCACAAAACCACTAAATTTACACCAATCACCAGGTGCTAGGGGTCCCCTGGGGTGCCCCTCTGTGTTCAGGCATGACCTGGTGAGTTGAGCAGGACCCTCAGTGATGGAGAGCTGTGGGACAGGACCTTTGTTTGGGAAGCTGACAGCATGACTGTGCTCTTCCAAAGCATGGACATGGTGCAAACCAGCCCTGAGATTTGTTTTCCCATGAGCCATGCCAGAGGGTGTAGTGAACTCTAAAAACAAGGGCAAATCCTCCTTCATGGCTTTTTTTCCCACGTGGAACTCCAGGACAGCACAAGGAGCCAACTGGCTCTTCGGTGGGATGGGCAGGAGAGGTTTCTGTGCCTGTAGAGACAGGGGATTTTTTGTGGTGGACTGAAGGCTGTAACTAGACTCTCCTCACACAGGAACTTGGGGACAGAGTGCTCTCCCCTGCTGGTGCTGGCAGAGCAGCCCGTAGAGGGTTAGACTGGAGCGCTCCAGTTTCTCTGGAGTCTGCAGAGTGCCTCTTGTGAGTAGCAGTCACCTTCCTCAGAAACCGTGGGGCCCTGGGACCCACGGCTGGCTCCAAAGACTCCCTGCCTAACCTGACACCTGCATGACAGACAGCGAGCACTCCCTCCCCTGCACCTCCCAGCCAGCACTGGGACACTGCCGTGCAGGTGTCCCTGCACAGCCACCCGCCACCTGTGCCAGCATCAGCATCTCTCCCCTCCTCACTCATCCCTCTCCCGAGTCGCTGCTTTCTGCTGAAGGAGGATGCTCTCTCTAGCAAGAGGCTCTTTGTCTGACCTCTCCAGGGTAATTCTCTCCCGCTGGCCCAGCTCTGTTGTTTGGCTGAGTGTTCTCTCTTCTCTCTTTTCCTGCCTCTCCTTCTCTCCCTCCGTCTTTGCCTGCAGCTGGTCTTGGAGACCTACAACGTCCCCGAGCTGTCAGCAGGAGTCAACTGCACTTTCGAGGACCTCTCAGAGATGGATGGGTTGGTGGTAGGCAGCCAGATCCAGTGCATCTCTCCAGCTGCCAAGGAGGTGCCCCAGATCATCACAGAGAATGGTGAGTAGCCCCCAGCTCCTCCAGCCGCGCCTCTCACTCCCATCCTCACCCCAACCCTGCGTCTGTCCTTGATGCCTTGAGAATCTGACCTAGAACAGAGGCTGGACAAAGTTAAAGAATAAAGCAGGGATGGATTGAAAGGATCTCCTGCATGTATGCACCTGGGGCAGCACAAGAGCCCAGCCAGGGCTGCCCCCAAGATGAACCCAAATGGTCCCAAAATGCACGAGCGCTCCCGGGGTCTCTCCCTGGGATCAGCTCTGCTCCATGTGCACATTGCAGTTCAGTGTCCAATTCCAGCTCAGCCCCTGCACTCCCATCCTGCTTGTTCTTCTCTCTGCAGCCCACGGGGTTTGTGCTCCTGGGCTGAGATTTGGATCATTTGTCCTTGGTGCCCAGCTGGAGCAGGAATTGTTTTGTCTCCCTGCTCTGTGCACAGAGCTCACCATCCTGTAATATGAAGCTCATAAATGCACACTAAAGCAGCACAGAATGTGAAAAATATAAAAGTTAAAACCTGAGGCATCATCCTGCAACCTCAGAAAGCAGGATTTGGCTCCTGAGAGCCTGAGGAGAGGGCAAGGAAAGCTCTGGGAGCAGGAGGGACTCTGGAGCTGCAGAGCAGCACATCGTGCCCCGAGCTGCGCGAATGTGAGACTGTTTCAGGAATCCAAGCCTTGAGCTGCAACCCCAGCAGGTGCTCCTCTGTGTGACACGAGGTGTTTGCAGGCTGCCACCGAGTGGCAGTTGCACGAATCCAGCAAAGACAAGACATGGATGTGGGATATTCCCTCTCCTTTTGGCCAGGCTGGAGTTACACACCAGGGGTACAGGCTCTCAACACATCCCATCCCATGTAACAGACAAAAATTCCTGGACAATCCTGTCTGTAATTTCACCTTGCTCCTCCCAGATTTAAGTCTGTGTGCTCAGCTCCTTGTCTCAGTTCCTGGACTTTTCTGCCTTCTGCTGTTCCAGGTTTCCTTCTGGCTCTTTCTCCCAAAATGGTCCAGTACAGAAAAATACCTTGTCTCCAAGGGTGCTTCTCCTGTCCACAACTTCCTGCACTTTTTTCTTTCCCTTTTCTAACAAACTTTCTGGGTAATTTCAAAAATTCCTGTGGCTCTTTACAGGGACTTACTACAAAAACCTTGACACTGCTATCACCGCCATGAGACACAGAGAGGATGCTGCCAATTTTTGTCCTTGGCTTCCTGTGAAAATTTACTATAAAATTTGCCTCTGGGGATCCTCAGACCGCAGAAAATGAGGTGACATGAGCTGTCACCATCACCTCTGGTCTCCCTGAGCTGCACACAGCTGCTGTGCTCTCCACTGCAGTCCCAAAACAAGCTCCCAGGAGGTTGTCACCACTTTCAAGTCCCACTGAATTATCAGTCATGTTTGCTTACCAAGACAGGCACCAGAGATTCTTTCCTTGGTATGGACATCTGTCCCAGGCCAGGCTATCATTAACCAGCAAACAAATATAGCAGTGAAAGGTGGAGACAGGACAAGAGGGAGAGATTTATCTGCTTTCAGGGCACCTGCAGCTTGTGTCAGCTTCAGAGCAGATGCTCTGCACCTCTGCAAAAACCAAGTTCTCCCTGCCAGAGGCTGGATTTGAACCAAAGGATGTGTGACTATCCCATCTGGGGCCATCCAATCCTCATATCCTGGTTTAAAATACCTGCAGGATGCTGGCAAAGTCATTAAATATGGCAGAGCAGGGCCAAGCACTGGCAGCAAGATGTGTTCAGTGAAGTGTGTGGGGTGTGTGTGCCCCAAGGTGGGTGAGTGAGCACGAGGTGCTCGTTGTGACCCCTTGTCAAGTTTGCTCTGGCCTCACAGATTAATGAATCTTTCAGGTGGGGAGGAAAATGGTACAATTATAGATTGGTTTGGGTTGGAAGGGCCTGAAAGATCATCTCATTCCAACCCCCTGCCGTGGGCAGGGACACTTTCCACTATCCCAGCTTGCTCCAATCCCTGTCCAGCCTGGCCTTGGACACTTCCAGGGGCACCACAGCTTCTCTGGACACCCTGTGCCAGGGCCTCACCACCCTCACAGAGAAGAATAATTCTTTTTAATATCCCATCTAAATCTGTCCTCTTTCAGTTTGAAGCCATTCCCCTTTGTCCTATCACTCTGTGCCCTGTTATAAATAGCAGGGAAAGGACCACCAGGTAAATCTTGAATTAAGCCACCAAATTACTGCACCCACTGATTGCCCTCTCTGAATTGTGGGAAGAAGCAGCAGCTGACTGCCCAGCTTGGGAGCAGTGGGAAAAGGGATGGGGAAATGGTGTGGAGGAGCTGAAAAGGGAAAGCTACAGAAATGGGTGGATCCTTCTGGAAGTGCAGTGGATTTCACATCTCTCGCACTGGGATGGGTTCTTTGCAGCCACAGGCTGAGGGGAATGGAGCTGGGGGTGAGTGAACATGGAAAGAATGTCCACATGCCCTTTTTTTCTGGGAACATTGAGTGAGCCAGCAGTATGGACCAACTTTAAGGAAAAAATTGTATTTTAATGGCCTTCTAGACATCTGCACTCATTCTTTGAGCTTGGTTTTCCTACTTGATGAATTCAGTCACCACATTTTTGAAATTAGATCTGCTGTCACCCTCCAGTCCAGACTCTTCTCCCAGGCACAATAATTTCCAGTGGCAAAGACATACTGTACCTGTGGGAGAACTGGGCTCTAGAAGGGTTTTATCACACTTTTTACATCTACTGAGGACAGCCCAGCCAAGGGGCCGTGGGACAGCTCCAGGTTCAGGCTGGTGGCCTGGCCAGCAGGGCTAACAAAGCAGTCACACCCTGATGTGCCTATTTTTCCCCCAGGTGACCATCACATTGTCCAGCTGCAGCTCAAGTCCAAGGAAACGGGGATGACCTTTGCCAGCACCAGCTTTGTCTTCTACAACTGCAGCGTCCACAACTCGTATGTTCAGTTCCTTTGGTACCAGTTTTTCATGGGCATGTCCCTCAGGAGGATGTTAAAGTGTGGAGGTGACCAGGGGCTGGGGTGGTGCCCACAATGGTGGGTCCCTCCTGAGGTGATTCAGGGTGTGGGCACCACTTTTTCTGCAGGCAGACCATCAAATTAGGAGCAATTTGCCACAGAATTGAGTCAAAACTGAATTGTACCCTCAGCACAGGGGCCCCTTATCTTCCTATTGCTCATTTTTTTGTGGAATTTTGGCTCCTCATACGCACCTCCAACCCTCATCCATGCTGCCAGTCCCACCAGTAGCCCACCCCAGATGGTTAACATGGAGTTGAACCCTCCAATATGGAAAAATAAAGCTTATGGTTCTGGTAGGATATTCACTGAACCCAGGTGAGTCCCTCAAGACCATGTTACCCATGATGTGAGCACCTCCCCTGCCTCACACCCCGTTTTCCTGGGGTTTAGCTGCCACCCAGGGCTGCTCAGGAGCTGCCCCAGTGGAGCAGACCCACAAATCCCTGCAGAAAATGTCCTTGCAGCAGGCTGATCCACCCCTGAGCAAGGCTGAGTGGCTCTGTCCCCACCACTGAGCCGTCAGAAGTGCCAAAAGCAGATAATTACCGCGGCTCAGCAATTCACAAGGAAAGGCAAATCTTATTTCCACGTTCCTGCTGCTTTGACAAACAGTGTCAGAAAGCAAGGCTTGGGGAGGGGGGGAGAGCAGCAGAGATGGTGCTGTTAAATATTTATGGCGTGTTTTGGGTTCTTACTTGACAAACCATAATACGCTATCCATTTTTAATTCGATGTATCAGAGCAAGCACTTGTTACCAATTTGAAGAATAAGTTGCTGTACCAGAGCTGGGAGTGGATTGGGGTTGAGAAAGATTTCACAGAGACAGGAGAGGGGGTTGTGCCTGCCTGTTGGGCTCACACAGGAGCTCTGGAGTTTTTCTCTCCTGCCCATTAAAAACCCAGTGGTGTATAAGGACCAGGAAAATTTACTTCCCTGAAGTCTCCTCAAGGTACCCTCCAGGTACTGCAGCTGCATAGAATCATAAAATTGTTAGGGTTGGAAAAGCCCTCTAAGTTTGGGCCCTCTAAAAGCCCAACTTAAAATTGTTAAGGTTGGAAAAGCCCTCTAAGCCCCCTTGTCAGAAAGCAAGGCTTGGGGAGGGGGGGAGAGCAGCAGAGATGGTGCTGTTAAATATTTATGGCGCGTTTTGGGTTCTTACTTGACAAACCATAATACGCTATCCATTTTTAATTCGATGTATCAGAGCAAGCACTTGTTACCAATTTGAAGAATAAGTTGCTGTACCAGAGCTGGGAGTGGATTGGGGTTGAGAAAGATTTCACAGAGACAGGAGAGGGGGTTGTGCCTGCCTGTTGGGCTCACACAGGAGCTCTGGAGTTTTTCTCTCCTGCCCATTAAAAACCCAGTGGTGTATAAGGACCAGGAAAATTTACTTCCCTGAAGTCTCCTCAAGGTACCCTCCAGGTACTGCAGCTGCATAGAATCATAAAATTGTTAGGGTTGGAAAAGCCCTCTAAGTTTGGGCCCTCTAAAAGCCCAACTTAAAATTGTTAAGGTTGGAAAAGCCCTCTAAGCCCCCTAAATTGTTAAGGTTGGAAAAGCTCTCTGAACCCCCTAAATTGTTAAGGCTGGAAAAGCTCTCTAAGTTTGGGCCCTCTAAAAGCCCAACTTAAAATTGTTAAGGTTGGAAAAACCCTCATAGAATCACAAAATTGTTAAGGCTGGAAAAGCCTTCCAAGATCACCAAGCCCAAGTCAACCACCATGGTCACCATTAAACCTTGTCCCCGAGTGCTTTTTAACACTTCCAGGGATGGTGACTCCACCACTGCCCTGGGCAGCCTGTTTCAGTGTCTTACAACCCTTTCCATGAAAAAAAATCCTAATATCCCATCTAAACCTCCCCTGGCACAGCTTGAGGCCGTTTCCTCTCATTTTGGCACTTGTTACCTGAGACAAGAGCCCGACCCCCCCGGCTCTCCCCTCCTGGCAGGGACTTGTGCAGAGCCACAAGGGCCCCCCTGAGTCTCCTTTTCTCCAGGCTCAGCCCCTTCCCAGCTCCCTAAGCTGCTCCAGACCCTTCCCAGCTCCATTCCCCTCCCTGGACACTCTCCAGCCCCTCCAGGTGTTTGTCACGAAGGTCTCCAGAGTGTGAATGACCAGAGAGCAGGGTTTGGTTGCTGCTGAGCAGACATCACATTGAATTTAAAGGGAAGTGTGATGTAGGTCCAGTCAGTGCTGTAACACGGCCAGGGGAGGTGTTTGCAGCTCTGACTCTGCACAGCCCCTGAGGCACAGGAGAGCAAAACCTTGTAAGATGGAGGGAATGGCTCTTTCCTGCACCCAGAGTAGCTGATGCCCTAAATATGCCCTCTGCTTCCCAGGTACCTGCTCCGGTAGTCTTCTCTTCTGAGATGAAAAATATGAGTTAACATATTGGCAGGAACCTCATCACCCTGATCAGAACTCACACCAATAAACCTGTGGGACACGGGGAGAAAATTCCCTGCTTCATCTTTGGTTTTCTGGCTTTGGCACATCCCAGTTTGTCTCTGGCCTCTGTGTCATGTGTGGGAGAATTAACCAGACGGGTTTGTTGGTGCCCAGGGCAGCCAAAGTACAGTAAATATTTATTTCTCCTCTAGTTGCAATGATATGAATGCAATCTAAATTATTTAATCTTATGAGACATTTGAGGTGCCGGTGACAACCAGCTCAGGCCAGAGCAAAACCAGCTCTTTGGGTCAGTGCAGAGCCTGTGTCCTCCTGCAAAAGCAACGTTCTCCAGGCTGTACTTCCCTCTGGGAAAGGCTGTCAGTGATCCCTTGGACTACCTAGAACAGAGGCTGGACAGAGTTAGAGAATATATTGGGGATTTATTAAAGGCCTTCAATAGATACACCCTGGGCAGTGCAAGAGCCTGGCAGAGGCTGCACCCAAGATGGACCCAAGATTCCTGACAGTCAGGAGTTTTTGGGCAGATATAAGTTTGGTCTATTTGCATATCAGGGGTTAATTGTCCAATTACAGCTTCAGGTGATGAAGTCACATTCCCCCAGTTTGCTTTGTCCTTTCTGGGCTGAGGCTGTGAGGTGTCCTTGGTTCTCAGGCCTGGATTGTTCTGTCTGCCCAAACTGTGAAGAGAGCTCACAAACTCTGCATGGAGTTCAGAGCTACACACTGATGCAGTACAGGAGCTGGAAAATAGAAATGCTAAAATTTAAGGCCTCATCAGGACCCAGCTGGCTGAGTGATTGCTCTCTGTCCCTGTTGCAGGTGCCTGTCGTGTGTGGAGAGCCCCTACCGCTGCCACTGGTGCAAGTATCGCCACGTCTGCACCCACGACCCCAGCTCCTGCTCCTTCCAGGAGGGACGAGTCAAGATGCCTGAGGTAGGCACAGGCACAGGGAATGTGCCACATGTCTGTGATGCTTAGGGCTGGTGTCACCCCAGCAGTGCCAGTGCAGGGCAGAGTGACCTCCCTGCTCCTGCTGACCTTGTCAGCCCACGAAACCTTCTCCACCTCCAGCCCCAGCCTTTCCCTCCTCTGCTCACCCTCCCCTCTCCCTCTGCAGGGATCTCCTCTCCCCTCTGCTCTGCCAGACCCCCAGGACCTGTTCCCTCCCTCCTGCACACCACAGGCAGTGTGATGTGGGAAATGAATTTGTAGAAAATTCTCAAAGCCTGACAGAAGGCTGGAATAACACAGACATTGCTGAGAGAGAAATGGAACTGGAAACAAGTTTCAAAGGGTGGCCTTGCAAATAAGACTGGATGCTTTGGAGAAATAGAACTGTGAAAGAGGCATTGGAGTGGGACCCACGAGGGGTAATTTTAGATGATTGGCTTTAAGGCATTTACAGCATGGTGTGGCTAAAGCTGACAGAGCAATAAACACTTATCATATCTTAAGATTAATTAAGAAATTATTGGCTTCTGATTGTGATGGTGTGAATTATAACATCTGTATTGTCTCACCCTTCACATGAGACTGAAAATGTTATAAAAGTTTCTAAAACACCTCTCAACTGACCCATCTCTTGGTCAGAAAATAAGACAGTGTGTAACCTTGGAAACTCATCACAAACTCCTGGCCCCAAAGGTCTGGCAGGGATGGGAAACACTGGTTGTGCCTCTCTCTCCAGCTACCAACCCCAGGCTGCTGAGACCTGGGGAAGATTTAGGGCTTTGGCCATGGGTTCAGTAGATTCCAGCTGTGTTTGGAACACCTCTGGGGCTTTGTGGGTTTGATGCATCCAACTGCCCCCCAGATTGCCACTGACTGAGCTGAACTGGAGCTTGGGTCTTACTACAGAGCAGCAAATGCTGCCTGGCTGGTGTTGTAGCCAAGGAGCCCTTGCAGGCAAGGAGAATGCAAATAGGAAGCCACTTAATTCCTTCCTGGTCCCACGTGTAGTGTCTGTGACATTGCCATTCCCTCCCACCCCTTCTGTAAATGCTGGAGGAGCTGTCACATTTGTGCTGGTTGGGATGTCCTGCGTCAGACGTCCTGACCTGCTCTGGCACTGGGAAAAGCCATAAGTAAATACTCATGAGTTCTCCATCTACCAGGATTCAGGATTTTCTGTAGAACTATTGGGAAATGTGCTGAGGAGCTGGAGGGTTTGATGCCCTGAGCTTGGTGGTGGAGGGGTGAGGAAAGGCAGCCCAGGGTTATTCCAAGCCTTGCCATACTTTGTCCAGTCCTGCTGTCCCATCCACTCCAGGCACTGTGGGAACCTCATTTTCTCACTGTTTGGGATCTTCTGGGACACTTTGTCCCAGTTTTCCACTCTGCAGTGTCACCAGCACCACCCCTGCTCTCCTCTGGTGTGCTTCAAGCACAGGGCTCACCTTCCCAGCTTCCAGCTCTCCTCCCCTCCAGTCCCCTGCCCAAAGTGAGATGCCCACAATCCTCAGTGGATCTCCTGATCCATCACAAAGATCACGAGAGTTATCCCAGTTTCTTAGGGAAGGGATAGGAGACGGCACAGCCACTGCTCTTTACTTTGTTCTTCAAGGTGTTGCTCTGCAGAACTGGGGAGGAGGCAGGAATTCATCAAACTCTGCCTGGTTTTAGCTGTATCACCTCTCTTCTGTGTCTGAAAGATGTCCTATTCAGGAGATAGCTCCATTTTGAGGAGCTTTGTCAGCAGAGTTTGCTTTTCCTCTCTTCTACTCCCTTTAAAAGAGAATTCCCTGCTAACCTTTGTGTACGCCCTTTCTGATCTTGTAAAAATGAGATTTTCAAGGCAGCAGGAAGAGGCACAGACCCGACCTTGGAAAACCACAGCTGATCTACAAGGCAATGACAGCATCATGGATGTTACACTGGTCATTGCTAGTGGGGGCTGCAGCATTTTTTTGCCTTCTCTGGGCACAAATGGGACCTCATTCCCCTGGGATCCAACATCTGGAATAATCTGCTGAATTCAGGAGCTGGTTTTGCTGTCTGCTCAACAGAGGAAGGACTGGAATGACAACATTTGCAAGGACAAAGGCCTTGCAACTCCCAAAACTTTCAGAGCTTGCTTTGTGCCTGGCAGTGTGAGAAATGCCCTGCAGCTTCAGGCTCCTTCTCATTCCCTCTGTGTGTTTGTGGCTCTCAAGGGCTGGGGAAGGATGGCATCACAAGTGCCCTCTGGCAAAACAGATTTACAATCACTCTGTGGCCAGAAGGTTGGTTTTTTGGGTATTTTTCTTTTTTGTCAAATGGCACTTTGAAGGAATGTCTATCACCCACGCTTCTCTTGAAAGCCATCTTCTCACTGACTCACCGCTCTCACCGAAACTTCCACTGCCTATTTTCTACTGTCACCTGCAATTCTATCATTTTCTGTCCTGTGCACTTGAGTGGGTTCTCTGAACAACAGAAACCATTCAGTACCCTGAAGAAGCCAAGCCTGGCTCCTCTTTGCCAGCCCAGACCTTCCCCTGGCTCCTGGCGATGCAACGTGTCTCACATGCTTGACAAGACCCGGGTCTGCTCCCATCTTCAGCAGAGCTCAAAGGGCACCCACCCCTATAATAGTGGCTCTGTTTTCACTGGCCTCTCACATCCATTCTCCTTTCAATCCTTTCCTCTACCAGCATTTGGAGCCCTGGAGGATGAGGAGAGGGAAGGCTTTGCCACCACCCAGGCATGAGTACCTGATAAGTAAATCTTGAGGAGGTGCTGATGGGAATTATGGGGTGGTTGGACCATCCCATTTTCTGTCTCTCCATGAGTTTGCTGAGCACATTAACTCAGGCATCTTCCCAAAACAAATATTGGTGTTACTCTGTCACATGGACCCATGCCAGAAACTGCTTCCCTCTGGAGCCATCAGGCTGGCACACCAAGCCTTCACCTTCCCCATCACTGTGGCCTTCACCTTCCCTTGCTATGCCCACCCTCAGGTGATTTTTTTTTTCTCTGTTTGCCTATACAACATCTTGCCATCCTGTGGGAAGAGGCTTCCCACTGTCCAGATGTCCTGGGCTGCAAATGGGCTCATTTGGGCTGGCACCTCTCCCCCCTGGGCTGGTCTGGAGTGCTCTCTAAGGAAGGTTGTGCCCTTGTGTCCTCCTGACTCCATCATTTCCTTAGGATTCCTCACAAATTTCTGGGCTCCCACAGGCTCAGCCTTTCATTTAAGCCTTATTCATGTTCTCTGAGAGGATCTTGGGGCTTTTGCTTGTATTTCCTTGTAGTATGAGTTATTGGTTGGTGCAGGATGCTGGATGGATGTGAGACTGATCCAGAGGGACAGCAGAAAGGCTTTGGCTACGACCCACACTGTCCAGGAAATGCTGTTACTGCCATCCAAGGGCAGCCTTTGAATTGCCTTGTGGATAGCTGGGATCAGCCAGCCCCATGCTGGGAATGGCAAAACAACCAGGGATGGAGAAAGGACAGAAAATGCCTGTTCCCCCACCATCAGCTCTGAGATATGACTTTCTTACCTGCCACTTGTCAGGGGAATCAGTTCTGTCTGCCACAGATCTGGATCAGCCACTCTGGGAGCTTTGGGAAAGCCCAGGTTTGCTCCAGTGAAGAGCTCCAGCTTAGTCATAAAGCAGGAGTATTTATGATTATGGCACTGATCTTAATCACAGAGGGTTCATGATGTCCCCAGATGATTTGTAGAAGAAATACTTCACCTTGGCGTGTAATTTCCCTTTACAGCGGGGTTTTGAAAGCAAGGCCCACTCACTTGAAATATACTGAGTGACTTCTTGCTTTAGGAAGAGGAGCTGATATTATTGTTACTGAGGCAGGAAGGGAAAGCACGAGGGAAAAAGGACATTTTAATACTGGAGTGGACTGTTGTTCTGCTGTTGCTGTTTTTCCCAAAGAGCTGATGGCAAAAGTAGAGAGAATTAGTCTCAGAGATAGAAGGAAGTGGACTTCTGGGAGTTTTTCTTTGTCATCCTGTCTCTGCTTTTGACATCTGCTGCTGACTGGAGCTGAAGTCAGAGTGCAGGCTCAGAGTCTGAGCACAAACCATTGCATTGTTCCCACTCTGAAATCAACCCTTACCTATACAATCCCCAAGCAAGAGAGCTCAGCAACTTCCTTCTGTAAATGGGCAAGACAGTCAGCAAGAACTGGGGGGAAACTGAGGCAAGAGGTGTAAAACAATGGATTTGAGGGTCTCCAGTGTGACAGGGGCTGTAGAAACAATACCTGTCTCCCGATATCAATTACCCAATGCTGATTGCCTCATCTGTCTTTTCTCCACTCAGATCTGCTCTGATTCAGGGAGAAGTTTTCATGTCAATGTCTCTGTACAAGGATGGGATGCTGGGATAGCCTGCTTGACTAGATGGGATAAAGGAATAAATCTTTTATTCGTGCCTTTTTCTCTAAGATGAACATTATCTTGTTCCAGGCCTTGCAAGGATTTTAGCTTTGTGTAGGGAAAAAGAAGGGGGAAAATGGCACAAGCCAAAAGCAAGCCTAGATAACAAATCTGTTATTCACCAGGTTTAATAGATACATAATAATTTAATTACCTCGAAGGAGGTTTTCATCTTTCCCTGCTCAGCCGACATGTGCGTGCATGTGTTTTTCTTTCTCCCCCAAACAAGCCTTTCATTAAAAGGATTTTCATCTGCTGCCTAAAACGGGAAGAGAAGAAAAGATCTCGCACCGAGGTGTTTTATGTGGAGTTGTACGTGCTAATGACAGCAAAGCCCACATAAAAGGAACAACTGCTTCAAATATTCATTTGTCTGGAGTGATGGGGAGCCCTGTGAGCTGCGTGCTGGCAAGCAGCTGCTGGGGAGCAGAGCATGGCTTTGCTCCTGCCTTGGGCCAAACCAAGAGCTGTCCTGGTGGCTTCCATCACCACTGCACTCATTTAGCTCTGCCTGGCTGCTGGTTCTTCTTGGGAAGGTGTTTGTTGG